ATTAGTAGTATACCAAGGTATCCAGTGATGTAATTTTACCCACAAACGGACTTGAAGTTTTTGAGCTAATTTTTTTTAAACCACTTGTGTCCAAAAAAGCATATTTTTGACCTAAAATCAAAAACGCATTCTGGATATTTAAAATAAAGACAAGTTTTACAAAGTTTGTATAATGAGCTTTCAGAAAATATATAACATGCTGGATATATAATACCATCTTCATTGTCTAATTACTCAATTAAAAAGCAAGCCAAATAAACTGCATCTCTACCTTAAATGTGCATAAACTGCAGAGAAACTTGCCAAGCAGCTGGAAATTACACTAAACAATTTATCCAAAAAACTTTGTTCAAATCAGCCCTCTTCTGTGACATTTTCATTGGCCTGGGGCTAATTAATGTTCTTTATATCTTGATTATGCCACAGAGCATAATTGTCACAATATCCATTTATCTATTTATCATACCAACATACTGTTATAGCAAGACATACTGGTAGTACTGAAAAACACATCAATTTAGCTTAGCTAGCTTGTCATTTTAGCTAGCGTGTAATTTCGCTGATTTATTTAAGATTGACATAATTGAAAAGAAAGTATATTCTTACAAATGAAATTATTGGATTCTGTTAATTTGTGCATTGAACCAAATTCTCTAAATTTACAGCTATTTAAAGTGCCTGTGCAATGCCCACCCTCACGTTTCCCATTTTAGATCTGTGTCCCACTGAAATGGGTAGTTATTGATTTTTTTGCTGAAAATGATTACTCGTATCCAAGTAAATTTGGGATATTTCTCGTGTTGTAGCCACGCCCACCTATCGTGAAACGGTCGACTGTTTCCGGATTTCCGACTCTCGCCGAAAGTGCGCCACCAAATGACAAAATGTGAGAGGAAGTCATACCCCTGAGCCGTAATAACACTGGTCGTTCAGAATACTTTTAAACGATATACATTCTTTGGTCGGCGTTTTTTCTTTTTTTTTGTCTATTTTTTTTTTTTTTTGAGAGAGAGTTTTTAGATGTTGTGTTGTGGGCAGTTGCAGTGAAACGTATAGTCATAGTGTATGTATTCACACATTTCTAATCGATCCGAAGGTGCGACATCACTTCACCTTAGTTCTCTCTTGAGGGAAAAAAAGACTAGGTTTAAAGAGAAACGCCGAGAACGTAAACCTGGCGCAACACTTTTGAAAGAAATAGATTCCGGACCCGCCCATGATCACCGAGGCGGATTTCAGAAGAGAGAGAGAGACGTCTGGCAAGTGTTTCAAATCAGTTGACTTTTTATAGAGACCATTTAGTCCCTGTTAAGTAAAAGGTAGCAATAATTTTGACAGTGACACGAAAACGAAGCGTCGGACAAACAGGAAATTACACAGCCCTTACACACTGCTAACTGTTTTCATTTTCGAAGGCTAAAAGTTTCTGAATTGTTTGGTGGTTTGTGTTGAATTTCGAATTCACACCTCTGTTCTTTTTTACCTCCATGCTTGCAGCTTGATCTGCGTAATAATTTATGAAATAAGAATTCGGCTTTGGTCAATGTGTTTCCACCATAAAAAGTTTTCATACGATGTTATAATTATGACAATCACGCCATGGATCAGGCTAACTCGAATCCACTCTGAATTTATCTGTATGTATGTCGATCTCGATTATTTTTGTTATCCAATTAAACGCCGCTTTTAACGCACTTGCCCTCGCCGTGACCAGACGCGTTCGCCTATTTCAACAAAATGTCAATTTATTTCCACGCGGCTGTAATTTATTTAGTAACTGTGATTTGTCCAAATTGTCGTTTTTTAATTATTTTGTAGTGATCACTACAGTCTAATGTTCAGAATATCAAAATATGTTCTCTTTCATTTCAATTTTGAAAGTTCTATTTTGTCCAGCGACAGTGTACAAACGTGCGCCGGTGTCGGTGACGATCACGGTGACCAGCTACACCAGAACGAACATATTTCGCATCTAACTCAACCCCATGCAACAAAAATTGATACTATGTGTTCATTATGGTCTATTCTTCCTCGACGAACAAGTACATAAGTGACAATATAGTCAAAGACGAGAAAACTGCACAAGAAATTTCTGTATGCAAATGAGAAGCTAATGAGGAGCCTCGTTTTAAAATACACAAAAATAAAGTTGCCGAAGACTGAGTTTAAAACACATTTTTTCACTTAAAAAAAATAATTCATGCTTAGAAACATAAAAATTTATAATATTTATGTATCAATTGATAATTTTAGGCGTGAAAATAGCAGCCATTTCACAGGCACTTTAAAATTATTTTACAGTACACGCCGTGATGTATTAAAATAATACTTACAGAACATTGAGTTGTGGAAAACTGATATTAAAACTAGCACCAACATCTTCTAACTGGTTGTTTTTTAAATTGCTGAAAAGATAATAATGTAACCATGACGACAGAGCAGTAAATTCACTACAATACAATGTACATCACTAGGTGGCGCTGTTCACCACAAATCTTTGAACATAAACCAATACATTGACTTTCGAAAATATATAAAATTTATACCCAAAAAAAGAAATAGCTCTTACATAACGGATAAATCCTGATGTAACTCTAGAAAGGCTTCATCTGGTAAACTTTTAATTTTATTGTCTTCTAGGTTTCTGGAAAATATAAAATAACAAGTCACTGTCAATAATTTGTCTTTGTAACACTGACAAAATCTGTCAAGGCACTTTCGAAAAATGGTTCATTAATGTAAAACCGAAATGGCCACCAGCTGGACATTTTGAATCGAATCACAAAACTAATTATATATGTTGTCCATACTAAATTTGAATGACACCAGAGCAGCCACACCACCTGGGAAGTGGATGATTACATATTTTTAAAAAAAACAGCAGCTCGTCGATCAAAGGTCATTAATTCTTGTATTTATACCAACATTTAAAAAAAAATCTAGTCCAGAAAGACTGGAGAAATTATGTTGGAAAGATGGACGCATGGAACCCAAAACATAAGTCCCTAGTTCAGACTACATCTACTACATAAGTTTTACTTTATCTTGTAATGCTAGAAGAAATTTGATGAGCACATCATGCACTCATTTTTCACATTATGCCTGGCGCTGTCTCACCACTCTTTGATAAAACATTGCGATTACAGCACACAGACAGTAATTTGATAATGTTGCACAAAGCAAACATCATGAAGATGAATTGCCATGTGATTTGATCACCCATTCCAGATAACCAATACAAAGATCCCTGCTACATGTACAAGACCTTATTTCAAACTATTACTACTATTTTAAATATGGTGATAGGATTGGCCTAACAAGTGAAATTAACAAGGATGCTATAGAATTTGTAGAAAACCGATACATCTGGCATGTAAACATACAAGCACATGTTTCTCTGAGAAATAATGTTTACCACTAGATGGGGTGGGGGTGGGGATGGCGGCTTGTTCAGTTGTTCAGAGAAAACACAATAAGATCTTTTGTGGGATTTATTTTGTTTAGCATTTTTTTGTTTAGCATTGATTTGGTAGGGCAGGCCATCATGGTAAAATCATACGCTGCCAGGCTAAATATCGCACCGCGAGGGTAAAATTTTTCAGTGCCATGCTAAAATGAGCAAATATAATCCCGCATAAGTATAAATTCAAAGTGTTTTAATACATTGGTGAGAGGTCACATTTTACATGAACAAGAACATGCACTAAGAAGGAAAAGCATGCCAGAGTCGAAACAGGGTGTATCATGGACTTGGTACAACATGCGCTGCGACAATTGAGTAATCGTCGACATCATTTTGGGGCGCAATTGAACTTCAAGTACTTTGCGAAACTTGCGATGCTGACATCAAGTGTGCATTGACCGAAGTTTGACCTTAAGTCACGCACTGAACTGGCATGTTACCTTTTTCTTTTATTGTCTGCGCATCCATCTAGTTGTTATTACCGGCGGTATATCTGACGGTACTAACGGTAATAACACAACTTGTATGCAACTCAGTTTTGGCTTTGAATATTTTATTATCGTTTACTTGGTGTGCTGCTTTTCTAATAACGCAAATATGTTTTAACTCACAAATACCATGAACGCGAAGAGTTAACTGAAAGGCAACATCGTTTTTTGAAAAACAGAACAAAAAAACATGCCAATGCAAAATTATGTGTGCAAGGTTAGATTTATAGAACGTACATGATCACTTTTTTTAATAGTTATGTCGCATGTGAAACACACGAGACATTTTAGTTCATTCATTTCTTGTTTACCGATCTTCAACATTTTGTCAGGAATGCAATACGGACAAAGAATATACATTAATGATACCTGTCGTCAAATTAACAAGAGGCTCGAATCAGGAAGGCTCGGCTATTTTAAACTTTATTCAAGTGTAATAAACATAAGTGAAATGTATTTACGAGTCATAATACTTGTAATAATTCGAAAGTTACGACTTTTACTTTTGGAATTGGTGATAAATACATGCATAAAATTACAGAATTTACAGCGTCACTTCCCGTCTGACACGGCACAACACGTCTGTTTGGTTTGGGAAAGGCTTTTTTTACTTAACACAAATCAAAGGTGTTATTGTCAAACTGAATTGGTATATCTAAGAAACGAATGATTATCGAATTTGTACAAAAATCAAAGTACAATTTGTACGACTTTACGTTAGTCAGTATTTTACCAAATCGCGTGTGAACTAAATGCACACATTTTTGCCAACGACGTAAGAAAAAAATGATACATTGTATGTCGTACTGTATCATTCTAAATAACTATGTTGCGAAGGTGACTATGTCATTTTTTTATATAATTATATATTTTTTATATAATCAATTTTTTATCAGAAATGTAAAACGTTCGCCCCAATTCAAATACTGGAGTCTACAGGCTAAGCCTTTTCGAGAAGGCTTTGTTGCACACGCAGTCATGTAACACAGAACACTATTGTTATGCAAACAAAGCTATCAAAGTTAATGAGCTGCTTGCGTTAACGCAAAGCTAGCCTGCGTTAACGTAAGTCAACGCGTTAGATAAGCAATAGACTGGCGCAGTCGGGGAGATTAGTTTGTTTTTGTAGTTAAAACAAGATAAAAAAAATCTTATCGATTTTTCCATTGCCGGTGCAATGAGGTTGCAGAGATTTACGCAGAGGAAACGCTCCAGATTGCATCTAAAGGCATCTAAATTTCCACCAGGCTAAATTTTCAACCCACGGAGAACACTGTATTAATTAAGGCAGGTGGTTTGGTTGACGACAGTGTATGGCGACAATAAAAGGCTGGCTAATAGAAATCTGTTTTAACATGCATTCTCTAATCCTATACTATAAAAACAATCACAATACCACATAGCAAGGAAAGTGACAGTAAATAACACAGAATAAATGGCATAGTAAACACGTACTGTATGCGTGACTCAAACTGGTGCTCACGTACGGCACCTAATCGCCTAACATTATGTCACAGCACATCTTCCCCTAGGCCAGCTGCAAGCGTTACTATTATTTCTTTGATCTATATACAATGTACAGTATTTCATTCTCTGATAATTTATTTGTCATATAACATACATGTATGTTCAACAAAATCATGATGTCCAACTTTTATCTAGTGGGATGTAACACTTTATTTTTAAGGTACAAGTTGGTTTGTAATAAGCATGACCTACATGTACATAGTGGTTTATAGAGAAGTCATTATGATAACCTTTGACACATTGATAACCTTTGACCAATATTACATGCAATATTTCATTAGAACTTCTGCAAACTGTTGAAAAAACATTATACAGTTTAGATCAAAGAACCATTTTTTTTTAGTACTGTATAGTTTTTTTTTAAAAAGCGAGACTATATCATTATTCCACAAAATTGTTTGTCAAAAAGTGAGTGTCCTTGATTTTTGAAAAAAAAAAATTATGGCACACCTCTAAATAAAGTTGTATAACTGAGAACCTAAAAAAAAGACCAGTGGAAGACATTGCAAGACAACATTCAAATCATAAATAACGGTAAATACTAACGCACAAACACTTACTGTTGGTAAAACTGAAAGCCCCTCTAATTTTGAGTATCTTAGCTAAAAATCAAATCTAAATATTATACTGATTGCCGGCTGATGCATTGTGGAATTTACAGTCTTCACGACAATAAATCCCATCATGCATTGCTGTTTAAATCCTGCTTCAAAAGCAGGCTAAACACAACTACCAGTAAACTAAAAAGAACATAACATCAGTTGAGTCGCAACGGAATTTGTTATGTCAAAACAAGCTGGTCTCTGATTGGACTGCTTGTTAGGTGTTAGGAGTAAGTGACCAATCAGGTGACTAGCTTTGCATAGACTCCATAATGATGTTCAACATTTGGACAGCAGTGGTAATGTAAGATGAGCAAAATACTAGGATGGGTCTTATGTCTATTCAGGAAACATCTCAAAGGGTGTGGCATGCATTTTAGACTAATATTAATGTAAAATTCTTCACATACATGTAGCCAATATTCGATTGATGAACAGAGAATTCTACATGCGATTTAATGACTTGATTACACCCTAAGATGATAAAACTCAATCACAATCGAATTGAATCTATGAAACTGCTTGTTGATGTTTGGCTATTTGCAAGGGGAATATCTTGCAAATTTTAACAACAACTTTAATCATTGTTCCCATCTCTGATTCTCTGATCACTGGGCTGTGTCAGCTGCTACAATTTGTACTCAATAAATTAAGCTCACATCTGACCAATATCTCCCTGCTTCTTTCATAATGCACATATACACAAAGTAAGAGTGGAAACTCTTTGATCAGAGGCTGGTAATCCAATCAACACGTGCATGGAACAAGCCGATTTCTATTTTGGCCGGGGAACCATTCCACACCAGATTTAACATGTGGGCCAAAGGGATTGCTTTATTGCAACATTTCACTTTCTGTATGGCGATTGCACACAATTTGTGAGGGAGCCTAATATTGAGACAAGTCTGGGTCCCAAATATGATTACTACCTTTAATATGCTAAAATATGTTTGGATAATTAGAGTAGCAACACATTCTTATTCCGGCCCAATTAGACTTAAAAATATACCATGAATATTTACTTCTGAGATAAAATTGTTGGTACAATGTATGTGTTAGTTCTTGGATACAATGTACATCAGCCTCGTCGTTCTGTACTTTGTTCAGTAATTTGGACTTCCCAGATTGCGTAAAAACGGATAGTTTAATGATTTTGACATGAAAATGCTTGATGTATCATTTGCTGAGGGACGGCCGCTTAGATACGTGCACTCGAACTTGCCCCCCCTCAAATATGATACATTTTAATTTGCTTCATGGTAGTCGTCACTGCCGTCCCTGTCAGTGTCAAGAGATGAGACGATCAAGACACATTAGACAGTATAATTAGCAGAATTATCTGCTGACATAGGCCACTCATCGCCGCATGATCGTTGTAGACGCAATAAAGTTACATACCCGGTCACATGAAAGTAAATCAAAACACTGGACGCGGTATGCCTTTGATGTGTGGCCACGAGAAATACTGTAGAATACTTTATTTTTGCTTGGAATTTATTTTCGCTATTTTCGCTGAAGGGATGATTCCGTGAAAATAAAATCCAGCGAATATACTTTTTTTCCTATATTTCACATTAAGCTCATCAAAAATCAGTGAAAATAAATTCCAAGCAAAACGCCCAAAAAGCCTTTTCAGCGAAAATTTATTCCAGCGAAAATAAAGTATTCCACAGTAGTTGGAATATACCATTGCTTTGTAGGTACAAAAATCATTCAGGAGTAACACTTGGGAAAAATATAATACGAACATAAAACTGGGAATGAATATTAACAAGAAATGATAAATGTAAATTCTTTTGATTGGTAGTTTGTTGAGATGTTACAATAATATTAGCGTTGTGAGTGTCCCGTTCAATTTTTCGCATAATGGCTGGTCCCATTGTCAGTTTGCCAGAATACTCTCACAGTCAATCTTTCTCTGCAATCTTCTACTTAGTTTCACCTCCACACCGTCACCATATACCAGTTTCAAATATCTTTCATATCTCAGACAAAATTCGATAAACTCAACAATTTCTTGTGTAACATTCAGTCGAATACGACAAATACTCCTCTCGGAACGTATCCAACCGATGCGACAGAAATGCCGCACAATTCCTTGAACTGTTGCCCTCGCTAGTTCAACTTCCTCAGTTCCTCAGTGTCTTCGTCTAATCACTTTGACATAATAAGCAATAAGTGTTCAAAATCAGAAACTGCATTCAAAACTAAACTGTTCTCACAAGGGTAATTTATTTTATGTTAGGGGCGTTTTTAAATATTTGTATCAACTAGGTTTATTATTTTCGTTAAACGTTAAAAATTGAATTTATTAAATGAACGAGCATATGTTTGCATGAAATAACAAAGTGACCGATATCAACAATGAGTAAAACATGATTGTTTGATAAAAGTTTTACTGGATGTTTCCACATTGTAATAGTTGAATCCATCTGAAACCATAGACCGTTGTTTTGATTAACTGTCACGTAGGCATGTATGTAACTTTATTGCGTTTACAACAGTCACTGGAGTGTCTAGAAAAGTGTCTGGGAGATGTTGCAAAGTCCCTCGGTAATTACCTACCGGGTACGGGAGTTAGGTGTATGTAAATATCTTGCGCTCGCTGTAAATGCACCAATTTTTCATGACTCATATAACAATATTTCATCAAACTTCACCAAGCATCACCAAGCATCATTAATGATGACTGCTGTCACAATTAAAACCATTCTTTGCAAAATTATTACCGAGGTCAAACATAAATATTTATAAATTCAAATGACAGTTACATATTTGCATTCTAATTAATGTGTTAGTGCATCACAGAATTGAGAGAGGCACCTGCATAGCCAATACAATCATTTACATTTGAATGTGACTGATTTATAATTTTCAATACTTCGCATTATGACAGTAAAATTTTATTCTGCGTGATGTGCTCCCTGTGAAACCGAAAGCAGTTTCTTTTCAATACGCTGCAATATTCATGAATGATGCCGCCGAACATACTCAATGTTTCTGTTATTCCTTGTGAAACTAATAAAACACCAAATGTATCATTTTGTCACATTCAAAGTGTGTTAAAGATGGTGGGTTGAATGGTTGAATAATTTTAAGATACCAAAAGTGTCAATAAAATCAAGATAGTAATGTCAGTAATGATTGGATAAGTTGATGGTTTTGTATATATTGTTTATTAGGCATAGAAAAAATGTATTTATGTTAATATAGATATTATACTTCAATGAGTAAAGTTGAATGTCGTAACAAGTATGATTTTTTTTTTCATTTTGTCCGTGACCCATCACAGTTTCCACAACAAGTGTACAAATTTAGCACAAGTTTCTGTAAATTATCACAAAAAATGTGATTTGTTAGAAAAAATCATTTAGGGTAGTTTTTGCCACAGAAGCCAAATTCATGTTTGGGACTACATGACAGGGCTGTGTTGCCATCTCTCCATCAAATGGCAATTTAATGCATTATCCTGGCGTTAACCAGGCTTGGTCGAACACAGGCACCTGCGGACCTTAACCAAGCTTCCCCCAAAGTTTTTTAGTATTTAATACTTAATAGATTACTAAATCAATCAAATTGCTAAATAACTATTCTGTTTCTTGATTGTAAGATGGCTGACGACTCATACGTGTGCATGATGACAGAAAAACTTGTAAGTTAATGATATAGATGCCTATTTTTGGTCACATCATTGATGATAGAACATCCGGAAGGTATCAACAGTTTATTTTCCCACTACAAAAAGCATTGGTACAATAAACTTGATGTCATTTCTAAATGGGGATAGAGGCTGTATATATAGAGCCTTGATGCAACTACAAGGTCATATGTTTTCTAAAAATATATTTTGCTAGTACTGTACAGTTATCATAAATATATTTAATCAAAAATCTAATTATGATACAAGTAGTTCTGGATCACCAACCAAATTCTACCGGGAAATATTGTGGTAATAAGCAGCAGAGTTCACTGATATTGAACTAATAATATTATTCTATATACAAGCACAAGAGTTGATTCAACAATTGCAATTCACATATCAACATTAATTTTAATATCATTGAACATACAATGATTATTTAAATTTATCCATATTATATTTAATTAAACGAAAACTTATCGAATTTGTACCCGGAATTTCTATCAGTGTTGCGTGATCAATGACTGGTGGTAATAATGGCGTCCGTCACTGACTTGTTTACTACAACTCACAGTACAAGTTAATATTTAATCCGCCAAATAACTTACGACAACTCGTGATATCCAAGTTCCGACTATGATATTTGAAATATTAAAGTGGAGTATGGTCAATGAGAGCGAAAACTGATCTGTCAAGCACGAAGTTGAATATTTACAAACCGGAAGTGATTAGAAGGTATCGATATCGATCGTAATGTGATGTGATTTATTTGCGAGGGAAATTCCAAACCCGTCTACGTAAAAATCCTAATTCTGGATGTGGTTTTGACCCACCCCAGGTAGATTTGTGTTTAATGTGATTTTTAAAAAAGAGATAAAAAGCTGATTGAGTTGAACACGGTTTATCTGGTGACGTGAAATATATTCATTAAAAAAACTGCAACAACAAGTTCGTGAAACAAATGAACAACGCGCGCAGCTGATCTGACAAACAATCAGTACTTACAGTTCACGTATTGTCATATTTGAAGACGAAATATTCATTGGAAAATCGTCAAAGTCACTGGACGAACAGTCCAGCTTTCCGTTTCCCGGACATCTACATCTTTGGTTGATTTCTGCTGGGCAATCGGACGCTTTCGTCAAACAAACTTGCACTATAACATAGAGAAATACAACCAGGCTACACCTGGACGCCATGTTCGTGGAGGAGCCAAATCGTAGCCTCGTTCGTGTACGGTGGATTTATAGGCCGCGAAGATAAATCACCGTCAAATGTACTGTGGTGAGAATAAATGTTAATATAGTTTATGAATGGTGATATAGGTCTGACAAAATAGAGGTCTTCAACGCTATAAAATATGATTAAATACTACATCGTCCAGAATGAGATCTATAACATAGTGAAACGAGGGTGTGGGCGTGGCTAGTACGAGAAGTCACATGAACACCGCTGCCAGTGGCGAGTTTATTTCCTGTCTTCCCACTGAAAAAAACTTGTACTTGTAGAAAAACATAAAACGTAAATTGTCAACGAAAACACAACTTGAATAAATAATTGCAATACAATCTGGGGGAGGTGAAAGCTGCTTTGAATGTTTGTCACAGAACTATGGTTATTTTGTTTATTTTTTGTATTTTGTAATTTTTCATCATCTTTATGTAGATTGATAACTTGAAATATCCGACTTATTATTCAATAATAAACGTGTTGACCAGGGAGAGAGAGCCATCACCTTACGCGATTTACAATTAGGTGTTTACTCTGCAACAATGATACCTATTAGCATTACAGATTTTTAGAGTGTGAATATCCTAAACGTGTTTAAATATTGACCCGCGTGCATTTTTGGATATGTTTTTTTTTTTTTTTTTTTTTAAATGGGAAGACAACGATAATCCGTCGATAATGTCGTTATACATTTATAAAGTGGACATATCATGGTGAATTGTTAAAGGTCTTCACCATTACAAAAGTTGTATATGTTTTGGGTCCTGAGTGTCACCTTTTTTTAATTGTTAACTTAATTGAAATCGACAAAGTGATTCTCGCAGCTCAGAATTTCTTGAACAATGTATTTCGGACCAGCTGTTGATAGAACAGCAACTCAAAAACAGGCAAAAATCAAAATATTTTTGTTTTCCTGTAAAATCTGACAATGCTTTGTCTGAGCACAAACTAATTCTATCTAGGTGTTGGGTTTGCATGCTAATTCGATTACTAGTAATTCCATAAACAATCTAAGATCACATGGTATATCGCCACATGTTCAAATGTATATGTATGGACAGATATTCTAACTTTAGTAATAGCAAGAGAATTTTCCACCTCAGTCAAAATTATTCTTCAAACTTCAATCAATTTAGTGGTTAATCGTTTCTTTATTTTCTTTATTTATACTGGACTGGCGTTTCAATGATCTGTCCAGTGCTGAGTAATAAAATATTGTTTTCAAAGAAAACATATTGGTGTAACAGAGAAAGTAATCGGACACCCACTACGTTCCCACTAAACTGTAAACTCTGCTTTCAGTTATATGGTCACGAACCGTCCCCGTCTCGTGTCTGTATCGAAAATGTGGGTATTATTATTTCGGCCTTATTATTTACTGACTACACCATGAATGTGACAAAATACAAAAGCTGCGCTCAATTGCATTTAATATTGCTGTTTTACTATCTTCTGTTGTGACATCTTTTCGCAAGAGCTTTTCGCATGTGTTTATTATAACCTGTAGTGCTATGCTATGCTATGAAGTAATGCTATGGTGCAAAAGCTTCCGGTCTGTTTGTATTTACTACATGTGACGTCACGCCCGCGGGACTAATTTGCATTTATAAATTATGCTAATCATAGTTCACGCAGGAGGAAGGCTGCATTGTGGGAACATAGAGCGTTGTGTATCAGTTTTCACCAAGTCATAAGGATTTAGCAGCAATACATACGACGCAGCGAAGAAGGTAAACTGCCGTAACATTTCGTCTTTACTACTTTTCTGCGATTTTTTTCATTGGATGCGTGGTGTACTTGGCATGGCCATTGATGTTTTCAAAGGTGAGTGGTTAAATCGCTCAGAAACAGCCATGGCACCAGTGTCCGGCGAGTCGGAGAGCTGACACAAAACAGGTCATGCTGCGACTCGATGTGTGTACGAGTGTAAACTAGAGGAAAATTTGTAAGGACAATGAGATTTTCTATATTTTACCCCTTTTGACTGTCACTCCATCGGTATGACTGGTAGAATAGGACTTACTCGCCGTCTATCTCGCCCAAAACAGGACCCGATTCGTTAGTTTTGAACATGGCCTTGAATCAGCATTTCTGTACACATCGGCAGTTTGAGAAGCAAGAAACCTGAATGTCGCTTATAAACGCGAAGCTAATTTGATTATTTTCACTTATTTCAGCCCCTGACATGATGAAGGTTGTCAAGAAAGAAGAAAACGAGGTAAGTTCAAGTGATAAAACGATGACACCTTGTGACAAATTGCCAGAGAGAATTTATTTGCCACGATAAATGGACGCCATAATGAATTCAAAACGTTCGGTGGAAATTTCACACAAACACTTTGCATTCTTCCTAGGGTGTCCATAGATTTCATCAAAATTTCGCATACTGACAACTACTACATCGGACAATATGTGACAGAGATTTCGACAATTTCTATCGAGTAGCTTTTGAGAAATCCTACTTTGCAACGTTTCATGCCCGTGTTTACTGTTAGTTCGATTTAATTCGTGGCATTGTCCATATAACCACACGACAAACTGACAAACTATTCGACATTTTCGAACTATATTGATAGTACAGTCGTAATATATCACTATCCCTATCTGGACAAAAAATTGGAGATTTTCATCGAGTAATTTTTAAGATACGGCTCTTTTATGTTTGTCGTTTGAAGTGTTTGTCTTGGTTATGGCTGCCATATTGTTGACCTGTACTAATGTGGTGTTTTCAACTAAAACGCGATGTGCGTCTGGTTAATTCATGGGTGACAGAGAGCAGTTACCTTCAGACCAGACGTTGAAATCTATACATTTTCATTGTCTTACGTAAAACTTTCAAAACACGGGAGTTTCGTCACATTTAACAAGTGTGAAATGGAAGCGCCACATTTGATTCGAATGTTACACAACTGCACTGAGGGAGGTTCATTCCATTCTTTGCGAAAGCGTGGCATCTGATGACATTTTCATTAACAATCGCCTTACGCGACTGTTGTGAACATATAATTCGTTAAAAGTGAGGGCTTATGTTGTTGATGTGGAATAGATAGACTGTTGATTTCTCCAGCTTCAGCATTTTTGATGGATCACGAGCCACGCGTTCCTTATCCGGCTTGGATTTCATTACATAGAAGACATGCTACAATCCGTCCCTAGCTAGCGTCTCTTGTAGTCAACTAGTTGAACTACAACTGATGTATAGACGCGGTGATGTCACTTGGTACATAGCATATTTTTATAGGCTATCGAACGGAGAACTGTTGAGTTGAAACCTAAAATGGCAATTTATCGTTTGTCAGGTTACGAACTCGCACTCGTAGTAATCTCTGTTTGCATCTGTTTTCAGCGTTAGCTTGATATGAACCCTGCATCGACTTCTACAAACGTATTGTAAAATTACCATTGGACTTTGTCACAGACCGTTGATAATTTGCCAAGTGAAATTTTGAATGTATTTTGAGGTTTATTTTTTATGAGACACTGTCAAAAAAGTTAAAATAGATTGTTTACTTCACTTTGGGTCAGAGCCAACAGCTGTGTCTTCGCCAGTTTAACCATAGAGGGGTCTATGTTTAATAGAGGGTCTGATATGACCCTCAGTTTGTTCATACATTTTCCTGTACAATGTTTACCATTTAATGTATCCATACTGGACTCGAAAACAGGCTAATCTCTTCCATCTAGAATGATCCTTTTTTTCGCAAGATAACTACCATTTTAGTACATTTAAAATTTCTTTAGTGCAATCTTATTGATTCAAAACATCTCTCAGTTTCAATGAATTTCGTACTAGCATATCTAACTTTCACTTCCTGAGTAGTCTTATCTATGATTCTCACATGAAAAGCCTAAATTATTCCGGTGCTTGTTCTTCTTGGCCAGATTTTATTATTATTCACCCGGTGTGGTGTCAAAATTATATGACAAACCTCTTAATACAACGTATGCGAGTTGGGATTGATTGTATCAAACTGCCATGCCGCAGTATTTGGCAACTTTTTGTTAATATATAGCATATACAAATTACATTGTAAAAAATCTAATTTATTCCAGTTATTATTAAACAGACCATGAATTGTGAAATTGACAGACTTGGTGTATGTATAGTAACATCATGACTGTCTATATGATGTCACTGAACAAAAAGTAGTATATCGGGGGTACTTATTAATATATTACAAATGTGATGTTTGTTGGAGTCTGTTCCTGAGATCAATAGTTTGGCATTGCTCCTCTATCATCTAATTCTGTGATAATTGTGAAATACCTGGTATTTTGAAAGGACAAGTTAATGATCTATGATACACACACTGTTGATGGGGCCCTGCATTTAGTGAGATGTAAACAGATAAAGGTCACACTGTGCCCCTGACTGTGTATATGTATATCCACTTCCTTTGTTGTTTCACTGTTGGGTAAAATCGAAGAGCGCCATGCTTGTGTCATTCTCTATTCTCACAATCTTTGTTTCCTCCTTTTCTATAGAACTATGTGCCGAGGCGAAAGAAAAGGCGTACTGCAGCAGATTTCAATATGTTCTGTACCTGGGTTTTAGCATATGAAGCTGAACAGCAGGTTAGTTTAAGCACTGTTGTCAGCATACAGTTGACAAACGTCATACGTCAGGCAGGATAAGTATTATAATCCACCACTGTTCCCGTGTACTGCAAACTTTCATGTCTGTGGTAGTGTAGCTATTCAGCTGGCTTTGCAAAAAAACACTCATTGATTATAAAATGGTATGCAGATCACGCTGTATATACAGCTACAGACTATTGTGAGGTAAATGTCCTGTGAAGATAGAGAAGGCTTGTCAGTCAAATATTTAGCATATAAATAGCCAGATTTATTATGCAAGCTGGTGTGACCATATATGGCACATGATTAATGACATCATTAGGAATTCACCATTATTTTATGGGTAGGATGGAATTTTCTGAGAGGGGTTGCACAGAGTTCATGACCTTTTTATAAATGACCTCATTCAGTATGATTGACCTTATTTTGTTATGTTTTCCAGGAACTTGTAAGGAAAGGCAACAACAGTCCACATGACAGTGCTGGCAGTAGTACTGGAAGCTTTAGTTCAGATTTATTGGACAGTAGCTCATTAAGCACAAGTAGTAGTAGTTCAAATTTAAGTAATGAAGACCAGGAAGAAGAAGGTATTATGAATGAACATGATGATGGTAAGTTATTTTGTTATTACTAAAATTCAGTTACTGTACTGCCCTTTGTTATCGTTTTTATGCATTAATTCATTGTTATCAAATGTGATTTTTAGATGTTTATCACTTTCTACTGAACTGAGCATATATCTAAAACTGATCTGTGATCACTAGTGTCAACAAGCAAATAAGCTAAACTTTACAATAATTCATCTTTAAATTAATGTTGAATGTTAATGAATTGAAAGCGGCTTTGCATATTGTATTCATCACTATTGATCAGCACAACTATGATAGAACAATTTGTTGTTGTATTCAGTTTTGTTGTATTCACAGTAAATTAAATGGGATTCTCGTTTTAATTTGGTTATAAGCAGCTGGTACAGTGACCAAAGACATGTGTTGCTCATGTACTTATCAGATAATGTGAGATGTGTATTGTTATTTAAATAGAGCGAATCCATACTGGTTGCAATAATATGGATATTATCTACCACCCTCCGTATATTGCATCCAATTGACTCATCTAATTTTTTTTCCTTCTCCAGAAGCTGAAGATTCATTTGATTTAGTTACATGTTATTGTAGCAAGCCATTTGCTGGTAGACCCATGATTGAATGCAATGAATGCAATACGTGGATTCACCTGTCATGTGCTAAAATCCGCAAGTCCAACATTCCAGATACGTTTGTTTGTCAGCAGTGTCGAGATGCCAAGCACACGATAAGGCGGTCAGGGAGAGTTAGAGGTCCCAAGAAAAGATTTATTGAATGAATTAAATGAGATATTTTTTTTTAGTTAAAAGTATGAAAATAATAAAAATGTTTAATTTTATTTTCATTGAACTTCCATGAAGTTTGAATTTTAACTCTTTAACATAGTTTTTGCACCAATGAAATCTGTTCCTTTAAAATGTACCTGGATGTTCCTATAGGAATATAAAATGAGAAAGTCGCAAACAGCGCACATACAACATACTTGGCCTTGTCAAACTTAAAGTTGGTCAATATTTTAGTTAATTTTCTTTACTTTCTGTTGGCATTACCATTTTTTGATACTTTTCAGAAAAAAACTGTCAAATATTTTTGAAATCCATTTTTAGTTCATGTGTTAGATTTTTGTGTCCTCATTTTAACTATTTATTTTTAATGTACATTGTTGACATGTACAAAAGTGGATTCTTTATTTTGAAAAAAGTTTTACTGTAAGTTTACTGTTAATAATGAAACGTTCAGGTGCATTGTGTACAGGGCAGATAACGAAGACATTGTCTTTGTTGACAATTTTTTTTGTAAATAATTATATAAACAAAATTTGCATTCTCTTGTTCTATGTAAATATGACATTCATTATAAAACAATCTTGTGAAATATTTCTATGGGAGACTTTTTGCTGCATTTTTCTTGCTCTAGAAAGGTATACTTTTATATACCCACACCATCTGCTCATATGTAAATTTAGCTTTGACAAGACTAGTTTCACTTCCTTAGTAAATCACATCTTGTTTATTGTTGTTCAACTGCAGTCAATTTCATAAATATTGGACTATATTACTTGTCTTGATGAATTTGAAAATTCCCTTCTTTTAGGTTTGTCTTTTGAATGCCAAAGTAAACTTTTGTTGCTTTTCACAGAAGATCCTACATGTTTTGTTCGATATAAAGACCTTCAGCTGAACAGACATACACCGTATGTTTGGCTCAAAATTAATTATGGAAAATACATAAATTAAAATCTTGCACAAATATTTTGGTAAAAAAAATTGCAGCATTTGAAGTGTTTATGAAGCCTTGTTAAAACACATCAACTGAAGGTGCATTTCAAAAGTGTTTAAGGATGTTTACAATCATTTGACTATTATTGTAGGTAATTGGTAGATTGACTGCAGCTGGACTATAGCTTGTTGGTTTTCCTTTGTAAATACTCTTAATTTTGTACAATAACAAATCACTGCCCTATGTTTGTTCACATAGTTTGTTGAAACGTTTAAATCATTGTATTATTTCTTGCTTTTATTTTGGTGTTTTTATTTGCTTTTGTCCATTTCATTTCGTGATGAATAACAGTTGTTCTGTTATTTATTGTATAAAAAAGTAAGAAGTAACATTTTTTTTATAGTTTATAATTTGCTTATACATCATTTTTCAGTTTCTTGAAGTTGATGTTTTTTCCCACAATTGACTATTGAGACGGCGAATCGTATTGGCTATCTTTAAACATAGTGGGTGCCTTGTGTCCCAAAACTGCAGAAAACTACATGTGTAGGTAACCATAAAACGGTAACACAATTGCACTTCTGTTAATGGCCGCCTTCAGACCATTTTTTGCATTGAACACCTTTACCCCCTCCCCTACTGTTAATTAATCAAAATCGTAATTAAATTTCAACCGACTCAATGCCATTTATTTTTTCCATGCCCTAAAGTTTACAAATGTCTTTTATAAAATTGGTGCAAGTTTGAATTATTCAGCAGAGGTACTACTTTACTGCAAATATTATATGCGTCAACCCTTGTATATACCCTGATTGGTATAATTGTATGGGTTTCATTTTTCTGGTCATTCCATTTACAGTGTGGCAGGGGTGAGAGGGTGTTTCTGCAATTGTGTATATAAGTAAGATACAAGATTTTTTCAACAGATGTAATTGATATTTTTGGTGACATGGATTGTACGTTTCTAAAAACAAATGTTCGGATTGGTCAGAGATCACCAGATTCTGTCTTTTTTTTAAACACTTTCTGAAAATGCGCTTCATTCTTTCTATAGAAAAAGTTGGTAGGCATATTGTAAAGACACTGTACAACAGAATTATGTACTATATGTCTAGAATACTTAGCAAAACAGTACTAGTGCAGACATTTGCTCAAAGGTCATAGGAATTTATCATGTATCTTGGATCTGCAACATCTTCAAATGATGTGTTCCAATCCAACCATTGACGGATACCAGTAATTGTTGTAATGGCAGGTGTTTATGAAATATCAAGGTTACAATTAGATCCTTTTATTATAGTGACATTTAGCATACTAATGCGGGGGTGCTTGTGCTTAGTTTTCTCTGAATCTTTGTTCCATTTTTTTAAAAACCTTTTGTAAGGTGGCAATCAGTCATTGTATCTGGGAATGGTTTGTGTTGAAATGCTGCAGTATTTTAAACCATGTCTTTACAGTCTCTCCATGCAGGTTTTTAATGAATCTTGTGGCTTTGACCAACCATTAAACACATTGTTAATAAACAGATATAAACAATTACTTTGAGTTTTGTGTGTTTCTTTTTTGAAAATGTTCCAGGTAATCAGTCCTACTGGAAGCTCAGTCAATCTAGTTAGTTTTAAAAGTCTTGGAAGTTTGCACATGTCTGTCTTTTTAAGGGATGTTCAATACCTTGCATGGCAGCCTTGAATATATTCAGAAAATCTCACTGGTTTAATGATTAGCATACTCCATAGGACATTATGCCCTTACCACAGTATGTGATGTATGTTTCTACCCACCAGGACAGAATTATTCATTAACATGACATCCATTGGAATGTATGATAATGGATACAATACACAAAGCAAAGAAAAACACAGAAAATCCCCTCAAAAATGGCAGAAAATCCAAAAATTTGAAAGTGACGTCAATATCTTGAAGGTTTTGCTGTCAAAACAGATTTACAAATATTGACCTAAATGGATTTATCGCTAAAGTAAATCTGAATTATTTGTTTGTGTATATTTAACTTGCTTTCGTCAATAGAATTCCCACGGTTCAATATTTTTATTATTTGTCAAGTACTGGTAATCCTCTTAACTAATTGTTGTTTTTAAGTCGATAGGCTCTTAGTTATTCCACTTTTAGACACAGTCCGAAAACAGGAACTTGTGTTTTGACCTCTGTGCATCCGTGTGTGTATGCATGTGGACCAATCACAATCAAACTTCACACGTACATCATACATGATATTATACCGATACATATGCACATCAATTTGTTTCATGATCTGATTCAAGATGGCCAAATGGTGGTCAGTTTTGTGCTCAAAATCAAGCATTTAAGGATGGATTTTGTTTAAACTTGGTGCATACGTTGGACATTATGGGACCTTTATGCACATCATTGACTCCCGTGTGCGAAGCACAAAAAGGGAGTCTTTGCAGTTAGTGTGTCTGTATGTATGTGTGTGTATGTGTGTCCGTCTGTTCCACTGATATCTCAAGAACCATACATCAGTTTTTAGCTCCGCTGTCGACTTTGTCGAGCGGAGCTTATCATATGAGTGATTGTCCGTCGTCGTCCGTCGTCGTTGTCCGTCGTCGTCCGTGTCAATGTTTTACTTTTTCGACTTCTTCTTGAAAACTACAAGCCTGAATGCTTTGATACTTGGTGTATATGTACCTTGGGTAGACCTCTCTTAGGTTTGTTCATTTCATGTTGATATCTTCAATTCTCTAATTTTGGTGAATATTTTTGTCATTTTTGGTAAAAAGTGATATTTTCGACTTCTTGTTAAAAACCGCAAGTGCAAATGCTTTGATATTACATATATAGGTACTACATGTGGACCTCTCTCAGATTTGTTCATTTTGTAATGATATCTTTAATTCTCTAATTTTGGTGAATATTTTTGTAATTTTTGGCAAAAAGTGATATTTTCGACTTCTTGTTAAAAACCGCATGTCCAATTGCTTTGATACTACATATGTAGGTACTACATGTGGACCTCTCTCAGATTTGTTCATTTCGTGATGATATCTTCAATTCTCTATTTTTGGTGAATATTTTTGTCATTTTTGGTAAAAAGTGATATTTTCAACTTCTTGTTAAAAACCGCAAGTCCGATTGCTTTGATATTACATATATAGGTACTACATGTGGACCTCTCTCAGATTTGTTCATTTTGTGATGATATCT